AGTGCTGGTGAGGTGGTACATACAGCCTGGAAGACCTAGAAGACAGAGAGAGGGAGGGAAAGCGAATCCTGAGAAGTGTCCAGAAAAGCTATTGTGCAGACCGGGGGATGGGGAGGTGCAAGGGGAGTCCAGCTAGGGGCTGCCGGAGGGACAGACACCTCCCCATCTGGGCCCTACAGGAAATGAGGTGGTGTGTCTGTTCCAGATCTATGTGGGCTGTGAGAGTCCAGAACCCAGACCCTGGGGCAGTGCCAATGACTACTCCAAAACACTGCACCTCCATAGCCCTCAACTGTTCTCATCTGCAAAGTCAGAAGATCTTCGCTGCCCCTTCTGGCTGGGCTTTCCAGAGATTCAGGACCCCTCTCCCCATGTCCTGAGAGGCCAGCAGGAGCTCCAGCAAGTCCAGAGTCCCCTCACTTACCTCTGTCCCCCACTGCTCAGCCCTGCCTGTTCTTAAAATTAGCTCTGTGAATTACAAAAGCAATACCTATTAGCTTGTTAGCATATTTCAAACAGCAAGGGTACATCCCCCTAAGCTAAGCACACCTCCACTAGGTCCTGGTGGCCTCTGGGAAGTATGTTTATATTCTAGCAAATACCACCACCGCCACCACTATTCCTCCCCCATCTGTCTATGCAATGTCTTGCCCTCTTCCTGGAGGATCCAGGAGGAAAGTCTGAAGCAGGTGAGCCAGGTACAGCCCAGGCCCAGCGATCCCACACCCATGGCAGTCCCCTGGCCCGCACCAGCCCCTCCCCACACCAGCCACCCTCCCTCCTCATCCATGCCAGCCCCCTACTAGGGGCTCATTATTCCATCCTGCCTGCCCAAGACGCCACAGAGTGACAGCTGTTCCGTGTTTAATTACTGATGGGCTGAGACTCTGCCAACCCATGAATAAAATTACAGTTGTTCTGCAATGCAAATACTGCGGGCTTTACGTCTGAGGGTCTGTGAGGTGCTTATTTTGATTGGCTGGCTTTTTTTTTTAATGGGAAAAGTTTTATTACATTTTAAAGAATGTTGGTAATGATGAAATTCGCATACCTAAAGATTTATACAGCACTGCAAACAAGTCGCAGGAGAAAGGAAGTTATTTATAACTTTAAATACGCTCCTGCCCTCTGATTGCATTCTTTCAGGGAGCAGAGTATTTTTCACTGATAATTGCTTTAATGGTAAACGTGGAAACTTAGAACCAAAATATCTGAAGTGTCTTCGAGAGGCAAAAAGGCCTCTGATAACATCGGGACTCACCACCTTATGGGGGGAAGGGAGAGAAGGGAGTTTCCCTCGCTCTCACCAAGGTCCAAGGGATGAGAAGAAATGGCAAACATTCAGCCTTGGCAGAGTCTCGCCTTCCACGGGTGCCCACTGGGCACAGGCTCAGCTCTGGAAAGGAACGTGGAGATGTGACATCCTCCTGTTGGAGCCGCCGGCCCGGGGATATTCCTCCTCCCCTTATACTCTGGTGTGATGTATGTGTGCTTTGTGTGACTAGGAATCTCATCTGAGCCACAGCTGGATCACAACACAAACTTTCCATTCCATTATCTACAATCCATACAGACTTGAATACAGAACATCCGATGTGATTTCCCCTTGTACATAGAAAATGGAGCTTGCTGGGGAAGGCAGGCATTCCTGATTAATGGGGCTGGAGGTGGCATTTCTCTCCATGAAGTTCTCTCTGCAGAGCCCTCCCTCTGGGGACACAGCTGAGCTGGAGAACAGTGTAGCTGAGAGGGAGGCTTCTCCAGCTGGCCTTGGTCCCCATCTCCAAACAGAACAGAGCTGACTTCAACGTAGCACATCCATTTGCTCATTCATTCCGCCAACGTGTATTTATTGAGGGCTCACTACGAGCCAGGCTCTTGCCACATTCAGGCAAGGAGGATATAGTCTGTGCCCTCCAAAAGTGATGGAACCGGCAAGGTAGAGACCACTGAGTCTCACTGAATGTCAGTGTGACAGGGACAGTAATGGAGGGACTGAATGCACAGCTCAGGGACGGCAGAGGAGGGGGTCTCCGGGTGAGGAAGTCAGGGAAGGGGCCACCCAAGCCAGCCTTGAAGGGTGCGTAGGAGCTTGGATGGGCTTGTGCTTGGCAGGGCAGTTCTGGTGGAGGGAGAGGCACTCTGCCCTCCCTGGGACACAGAGCAGTGTCCATGTTGGTGGGCCACTGGCTGAGGTGGAGTGTCAGGCCAGGGTGCCCGGACTCCCTCCTGAGTGTGTCTCTGCAGCTCAGAGCTGAGGTTCAGAGTCCTCTGGAGGCAACTTGGAACTGTGATGGATGATGGGCGGGGAGGGAGTCTATGAGAGGGGTGGGGCCGGCAGGCAGGCACGTGAAAAATGGGAGGTAGAGTCAGTGCTTCCTTCTCCCCTTCCTTTGGAGGTCAGCCATACCTGACCTGATGGGTTCAGGAAAGAACCATCCTGGAACAAGAAGACAGGAGCGGACCGGGCAGGATCCCCTCCCAGCATCCCACCCAGCCTTGGCATGTGTGTACACATGTGCTTGCTTCTGTGTGTGGGTTTACCTGTGTGTGTGGCTGTGTTTTGTGTATACTTTGCAAGTGCTTTTGTGTGCACACATGTGTTTTTACTGTGCATACGTGTTTGTGTATCTGAAAATGTGTGTGGCATGCTCGTGTCTGTGTGAGCATGTGTACATATGTCTGTGTGTCTATCTTAGGCACAAGGGTGTGTGCTTGTGTGACTGTGTAGTCAAGTGTGCACGCACAGATTTGTTTATGTCTGCATGACGCATGAGTACACACACTCACCAGAGGGCCCACGCCTAGATCAGACACTGTGGTTTTTAAAAAATAAAGTCTGACACTCTGGAATTGACACAGCCTGACATCACCACTGGACATTCTCAAATGAACCTTGTGTGGCTGGCACCCAGCTCATGCACTTGGGCGGCTCAGGCTTTGGAGGTCTCCTTGGTGAGGGAAGAAAATGGAAACCTAAATAACAGTGGCTGCCTTTTGGAAAGCTCCAGACAGTAGGCAGTGGGGGCAGCAGGCAGCTAATGATGGCGGGACTGTTCCTCCCTCCTGGACACCCCAGAGGCAGAAGGGAGGGAGCACCAGCCAGGCCTGGGGCAGCCCAGGGAGCCTGGAAGGTGGGCAGGGCCAGATGCCTCTGGCCTTGTGTGTGGCACACGGGTGTGCTTGTGCATGGTGCAAATGTGTCCACGTATGTGAGCGTGCAGGTGCGTGCATCTGTGTGTGGGGTGCATGAGCACACCTGTGTAGTTGTGTCAGCTAGGTATGTTGGTGCTTGTGCATGTGGGCACATGTAACTTGTGTTTCCTGATCTGGGAGCAACTATCATCTTGACCGAAGTGTCCCAAAGGGATGAGGACAGGACAGACAGCCACCTGATCTGCCCCTGGGGAGCAGGCCATGCTCCTGCACAGAGGTGCCCAGTTAGCACAGGATGTGACCCCGGCACTGCACAGTGGAACTGGAATTCATTGTGGGCACCCAGGGGCCTGTTCCCTTCTTGATGGCTTGCTGGGGGCATTGTACATGGAAGAATCATCCCTGGGCAGCTGGAAGAATCAGGTGAGCTCTGTTTCCCCTTCCTTTGCGGGCTGCAGTGGGTGGAGAGGCCTGGGGCCTGGGGGCTGCTTGGGGATTTGCTGAGTGAGTGAGTGACAACAGCAGGCTGCGGCTGGTTTGTGGCACAGAACCCTGACTGCACCAAGGAGTGTTTGGGAGGGAGTAAGTTCTGAGGACAGACTGTCCCGCAGCCAGGCCAGAGGGAGAGGGCGAGGTGACATAGCGGCCAGGACTGATAGAGCTGGTCCGCCTGCAGGGTGCAGCTGCCTGCAGGGGCCCTGCCCTCCACAAGCAGCTCTGGGAGCCACCTGACAGCCCAGGAAACCACAGCTCAGAGAGGTTGTATGGCTGCCCCTGGCCACTTGGCAAAAGAGCAGGGACCTGCACGGACCGGGAGGGTCCAGAGGTGAGGAGCACCCTTGGCGCAGACACTGGGTGACTGTGATGCTGGAGAATGCCCAGGATTCCCCTTCATCACATCCTCACCCGTTTGCAGTTATCTCTGCCAATTTTGTTCTGAGAGGAAAAAAGGATCTTGTTTTAAATTTTAGGAAAAGGCACCAGTGAGGAGGTGGGTGGATCTCGAGGCTGTCGGGCTGCATTTCAGGATTCAGAGGCTCTGCTGGGAAGAAGGACCTGCCTCTGAGTACACACACATACACGTTTTATTTGTTATTCCTAGAAGAGATTGATTTGATAGGATAAACCCAAATAGCACAGTGGTCTTTTTTTCACCTAAGAAGTGGTATGCTTATCCACTCATGTTCTTTTTTATTTTCTTTTTTTGGAGACAGAGTCTCCCTCTGTTACCCTGGGTGATAGTGCCATGGCATCATAGCTCACAGCAACCTCAGACTCCTGAGCTCAAGCAAACCTCCTGCCTCAGCCTCCTGAGTAGCTGGGACTACAGGCACCTGCCACCACACCCGGCCAGTTTTTCTATTTTTAGTAGAGATGGGGTCTCCCTCTTGCTCAGGCTGGTCTCTAACTCCTGAGCTCAAGTGATCTGCCTGCCTCTGGCTTCCCAGAGTGCTGGGATTACAGACATGAGCCACCGCAGTTGGCCCACCAACATTCCTCAGCAAAAGTTCTTAGGGCCTTGAATTTGAGGTAAGAGGTAACCGTAGACTTATATATGTTTGAGATTTGCTGTATGTATCACCACAGGTACAGAATGTGAATCAACCGTAGCATAGGAATTTAACCAAGGAGGTCAAGTCGTAACAGAAAGAAGAACCATTTGTGGTTCTTGTAGTAAATAATGCCTAAGCGTCACTCACCCCCCTCCAGGTGCTGGGCCTGTTCTGAGGGCTTCTCAGGTGCTGTTTGTCTTAATTAGAACCTGAGCTAGGTGCTGGTTTTTCTTCATCTTCAGACAAAGAAACGGAGCCTTCACTCTCTCCAGATTCCCTAGAGCTCCGCCTTATCACACACACAACGTCTTTTTTCCCCTTATTAAAATTTCACTAGGAAAAGTCACTCACCAACTCCTTTAGCCATAGATGCGCGTGTGCAAAGTATCTGGGGCCGGTCCCAACATGAAACTTAGGCAGGATATGTGTAAATGAAGACGCAGCAGGAGGAGAAGGCCTTAGATGTCTCTCTCTGAAGTGAGAAGAATGGGGAGGGGAAGAAAAAAGAAAATAAAAATCAAAGAAGTCCTATTGAAACTCAAAGAAAGCACCGGCTGTGTTTTGTAAGCTTCCAGTTTTCACCAGGCGCTGGGTGGCCGAGACCAGAATGAAGTCATGGCTGGAGGCAAACCCACAGCTCTCTTCCCAGGGAGGCAGTGCGGTGCCGGTGGGACGGGACGGCATGCAAGTCACCTTCTCTCCAGGACAAGGCACCGTGAGAGCAGAGCTGGGGTGGGGAAGAGGGAGGCAGCACAGCTATCAGGAGGCCGCAGACGCCTGGGCCCCCAGTAGGGAGAGCACAGTCTTGACTGCTCCAAGAAGCAGCCCTGGCCTGCTGGAAGATTTCTCTACCTGCCTAGCTCTTGGAGTGGACAATCTCTTTCTTCTTGAACCCCTGGAATTTGCAAAGGCAGGCTAGATAGGAGAGCAGGCTGTGCTTGGACACCTTTTGCCCCCCAGGGACCAGCCGCCATGCAGAAGCTGCGTTGGCTGGGAAGATCACTCGGCCTCCCGCCAGGCCGTCCCGTGGCCAGGGCTCTTGTCTAGCCATCTCCCCATCTCTGTGCCCGGCTCTGCTTGTCCTCAGGCGATGCAGCACTCACCCGAGGGAACGGGCAGGCCCCCATGGCCACAGGGAGAACCGCGGGCGTGAGAGTGAACTCAGCCATGCTGCTCCCGAGGAAGAGGCAGATGGACCAGAAAACCATATTGTCGTGATATCAAGGAAGGAGGAAACACAGAATTCTAAAAATATTTACTCCGGGAAACAGATGTAAGGTTTTTTCTTTCTTTCTTTCTTTTTTTTTTTTTTCAAAATGAAAATATTGAGTGTGAAAAGCAAGAGTTGAAGAGAAGATGAGGATAAGCTGTGGTGAAAGGGGGCAGGAGCCGGGCGGAGCATCCCAGGAGCATCCCAGGACTCCGGCAGCACCACAGCCGTGTGAGAGGGTCAGCGCAGCAGCAGGGTGGGGTGGCCGGGGGGCAGCCGAGCCGGAGACACGGATCGAGGTTCCTAGAGACTTCTTCAGATCTCACCAGGAAAGGAGAGATGTAGAAATAGCGAGAGGGCAACATCTTTGAAGAAAAGCTTTTTTTTTTTTTTTTTTGAGACAGTCTCATTCTGCCATGCTGGGTAGAGTGCTGTGACATCATAGCTCATAGCAACCTCAAATTCTTGGGCTCAAGTGATCCTCTCGCCTCAGCCTCCCAAATAGCTGGGACTACAGGCATGCACTATGATGCCCAGCTGATTTTTCTATTTTTAATAGACACAGAGTCTCTCTTTTGCTCAGGCTGGTCTGGAACTCCTGAGGTGAAGCCATTCACCTGCCTCAGCCTCCCAGAGTGCTGGGATTACAGGTGTGAGTTACAGCCTGAAGAAAACATTCTGGAAATCCAAACAGGATAAGGGCTGTTATTGAAGAACAGAAACAATTAAAAAAGAAAAAAATTCAAAAATAAAAGAGATATGGCAAGAAGTATAGAGAATTCTCAGCAAGCTAAAAGAAGACCTTCCGTTTGATCCTGCAATCCCGTTACTAGGCATCCACCCAGAAATAAAACGTCCTTTACCATAAGGACATATGCAGTAGATTGTTTATTCCAACTCAATTCACAGTCGCCAAGATGTGGAATCAACCCAAGGGCCCATCAACCCCTGAATGGATCAACAAACCATGGAATATTATTCACCCATAAAAAGAGCCTGCACAATTACCATCTTTCATGTTTACCTGGTTGAAGTTGAAACACAGTCTCTTAGCAAAATGTCACAAGAATGAAAACTCAATGTACTCAATACTAATATGAAACTGATAGATAAACAACTACACCCCCACACAAGAGAGAAATACAAGTATATTGAAGTGGGGGGAGAAGTGGGGGGAGGGAAGGGTATTGGTACTGTACGCTCTCACCTGATGTGGTATCTAGCACACCCCCTCAATGAAGGGCTAACCACAACTTGAACTTTACCTTAGAGACACAAATAATGCAACCTAATCATTTACAACCTCGTATTACCCTGAAATTAAAAAATAAAAAGAAAAGGGTGGCCAGGTGCTGTGGCTCACACCTTTAATCCTAGCACTTTGGGAGGCTGAGGCAGGTGGATCACCTGAGCGCAGGAATGTGAGATCAGCCTGAGCCAGAGTGAGACCCCGTCTCTAAAAACTAGCCAGGCATTGTATGGGCGCCTGTAGTCCCAGCTACTTGGAGACTGAGGCAAGAGGATCACTTGAGCCCAAGAGTTTGAGGTTCCTATGAGCTGAGACGCCAAGATACTGTACTGAGGGTGACAGAGTGAGACTCTGTCTCAAAAAAAAAAAAAAAAAAAAAAGAGTGGGAAACTTTGCTAAACTAAAGACCTACCTGAATTTGTAGGTTGAAAGGTTTACTACACACATCTGAACAAATAAACATCAGTAGACACCTTGTGACATGGTCTAATCTCTTGGATTAATAGAGAACAAGTCCCTGTAAAGATGCCAATACCAGGCCACCCTGGTTCCCTTACCCCACCCCCTACCACCCCGTCCTCCTTAGAATGGGCTTCACCTGCCCTCCTGCATGTCTTCCTCTGTCTTCCTGGGCACCCCTCCCTCAGTCCAGCCTGGAGGAGCCCCAGGTGGGACACGTACTTCCAGTCCCGCCCTGGAGCTGCCGGGCTGCCCCAGGTACTGGGCTGGTCTGCAGGGACCAGACGCTGGCAGTGCCCACCAGCTAAGCCTTGGCTGCTCAGGTATCTCTGCAGGGGTCCCTGTCCGCAGGTGGGATTTGGGCAGACAGAGGGAGAGGCTCACCCTTCTGCACATTCGGGTCAGTGATGGAACAAATGCCAAATAGCCCAAGCCACATGACTGATGGGTCACATATTAGACCAAGTGGGTGAGCTGCTCTTCTGAGCCAGAGGGCCCTCTGGGAGCTAGCCCAGATTACTCCAGATGCCCCGAGCGGGGTTGCCAACTCCCTGACCATCCATCTATCTACTCAGTGACCCAGCGAGGGAAATGGCCTGCCAGCCGGTTTCTTCTGCAGCGACTGTGGTGGGAAGAAAGGAAACCTAATTAAAATCTCAGGCGCCTTTTCCCAGGGGTCATTCCAGCTGGAGAGCCTAAATATCATAAGGATATGAATTTGCTGCATTTATTATTTTCACCATGGAGACGTCCAAGAAAACTGACCTTTTCAGTTTCAATAAAAACGGATTTTCCTGTAGGTCCTTTGACAGCAGCTGCAATCATGAGTCAGGCTGAAACTCAATATTAAACACCAAAGAGCAGAAAAAAGAGATGCCTTCCTTCAGCCTGGGAAAATTATTGACACCCACTTGGCAATTAGGAAGCGCGGGGCAGCCTGAGCCTGGCTCAGAGGAGAGGTGTGCCCATTCCGGGATGCAGATGGCACCCTCTCAGTGTCAGAGGCGCGGAACAGTCATGCATTTGGTTCAAGGCACGTTGCTCAGAACTGAACAAAGTCCCAGGCGCAGGCTGCTCTGGAATTCAGCAGGACTGGGTTCTGGCCTTGGAGAGACTCTGTGTCCCCTCCTTTGATAAGCCCAGGGACCCCAGACATCCTACCTAAAGTCATCCTGCCCTAGAGACAGCCGGGGCTGGTTGACCCTCTTGCCATGAATTGGCCACACTGGTGGGCAGAAAGCTAGCAAACGTCCTGCCCCGCCATTTCTATTGACCATGATAGCCAATACGTATAGGAACAAAATCACAGTCAGAGGTGACGGTGTTCACGTGCACTGAAACCAAGTATCAGACACTAACAAAAGCTGGAGTACCCGTGAAAAACCAGTGGCTTGACCCCAAGCATTTTCTCCCCACCACCCTAATCTTGCTACTATGAAAGTGAAACAATTTTTTTTTTTTTTTGAGATAGAGTCTCACTTTGTTGCCCTTGGTAGCAACATAGTTCACAGCAACCTCAAGCTCTCCGGCTCGAGCCATCCTCTTGCTTTAGCCTCTGGAGTAGCTGGGACCACAGGCTCCCACCACAATGCTCAGCTAGTTTTTCTATGTTTAGTAGACACAGGGTCACACCCTTGCTCAGGCTGGTCTCAAACTTCTGAACTCAAGCAATCTACCTACCTTGGCCTCCCAGAGTGCTGGGATTATGGGCATGAGCCACTGTGCCTGGTCAAAGGTTATGTCTTTTAAATTGCTTCATTTTCTCTGGGAAGCTGAGATAAGAGGATGGCTTGAGCCCAAGAGTTTGAGGTTGCTTTGAACTATGATGCCATGGCGTTCAGTCCAGGACGACAGAATGAGACTCTGTCTCAAAAAACAAACAAATAGGTTTGCGGCAGAAATTTTGAAATAGGTGGGGAAAATAGTGCAAAAAGATGAGATGGTATTATACTGTTTGACCCATAATAAACAATATCCACATGGTCATAACAACATAAACAGTAACCATAGTTTTATGCAAAACTGTGCTGGGGGCTGGTGGATAAAAGTAGGACAGGGGTCCTATTGGAAAGCTAGGATCTCACAGTGTGGGATAGCAACATACGGGGTGTCCCTCTGTCGCTCCTCAAAGTTGTCATGCATAAAGAAAATGGGAAATTGTAGCTAAATGGACATTCATTTAGAAAATATCCATTACAAAATGCTATGGAATATTCACAAAATGTTCTCTACGTATTGACCACCTCTTTGTAAAATTTTATAATGAATGTTTTGTAAATAATGATGCATTTAGCTACAATTTCCCATTTTCCCTATGTGTGGTGACTTTAGAGGTGACTTTGGGGCCACCCTGTAGAACAACAGAACCCAAGAATGAAGAGCAGTCAGTGTCAGTGTGAGATTTGGAAATGCAGGATGAAATGCTGAGGAAAAATCTGGGCCAGACTGGGGTGTGGGGAAGTAGAACTATCACTCTTGGCCGGGTGCGGTGGCTCACGCCTGTCATCCCAGCACTCAGGGAGGCTGAGGCAGATGGATTGCTTAAGCTCAGGAGTTTGAGACCTGCTGGAGCAACACTGAGACCCTGTTTCTACTAAACATAGAAAAATGAGCTGGGTGTGGTGGCGGGCACCTCCAGCTACTCAGGAGGCTGAGGCAATCGCTTGAGTCCAAGAGTTTGAGGTTGCTGTGAGCTACGACGCCACTGCACTCTACCCAGGGCAAGAGCATGAGACTCTATCTCAAAAAAAAAAAAGAACTAACACTCATATGATAAGTCTTTCGGTAAGTATTTGACTTTTTGAACTATGTACATGTATTGCTTTGATAACCACGTTTAAAAATTAAACCAAACAAGATTAAAACCTAACAAACGTAGCCCAGCTGCCCCCATCACGGTATTTCACATGCAGCAGAAAGTCTCACCGCTCTCTCGAGATTTCTGCAAATGTGAGCCTGAGAGGGAGGATGAATTATGCTCTCCTGGCGCGTCTGGCCGGCTGCTACCTCTGCTGAATTCTCGCCCTCTGTGCTGTGTCATGCCACTGTGATGTACTCATCGCAGTCCTCCTTCCTCAGCCTCTGCAAATCAATTCAGAAGAACTGGCTCAGCCCTGAGAGTCTGAGGGCTGCTGCAGTGGGGCTGCTTGGTAGGTACCCCTTGTTTCTGTGTCAGTCCTGGGTCCCACATCTGGTGACAGGCCTCCTTGCACTCTATGTGTGTGTGCACGTGTGGCTGTGGGATGGCGCTGGCCAGCCATCAGCCATACATCTCAGGTGAATGAGAGAAAGCTGTACACAGTGGGCCACCATGGCTTCCCGTCACCCTAGAGTCCGCTCAGAAGGCTCCTGGTAGGAAGCTGGGACCAATGTCTTTGTTTGTTTGTTTGTTTGAGACTAAGTCTCACTCTGTCCCCCTGGGTAGAGTACCATGGCATCATAGCTCTCAGGAACCTTAAACTCTTGGGTTAAGCCAACCTCCTGCCTCAGCCTCCCAAGTAGCTGGGACTATAGGTGCCCACCACCAACCTGGCTAGTTTTTCTATTTTTAGTAGAAAGAGGGTCTAACTCTTGCTCAGGCTGATCTGGAACTCCTGACCTCGGGGGATACTTCCACCTCGGTCTTCCAGAGTGCTGGGATTACAGGTGTGAGCCACCTTGCCCAGCTGGTTGATGTCTTTAGGTATAAGGAGTGGTGCTTCCTTTTAACTTTTTTTTTTTTTTTTTGGTAGAGACAAAGTCTCACTTTACTGCCCTGGGTAGAGTGCCATGGTGTCACACAGCTCACAGCAACCTCCAACTCCTGGGCTTAGGCGATTCTCCTGCCTCAGCCTCCCGAGTAGTTGGGACTACAGGTGCCCACCACAACACCCGGCTATTTTTTTGTTGCAGTTTGGCCGGGGCTGGGTTTGAACCCACCACCCTCGGTATATGGGGTCGGCGCCCTGCTCACTGAGCCACAGACGCCACCCAGGAGTGGTGCCTCCTTCACCCAGAATAGCTGAGGGAGAACTGTGGATCCCTTTGCAGCCCCTGAGGAGGGCCCCTCTCCTAGACGGGCCAAGGAGCACAGTTTGCAGCAGCTCGCCCCTCCGTCCTGCAGCTTTACTCCAAGCTCACAGGACCTCTGCTCCCCTCCCCTGCAGCCCTTTTCACACCTGGGTAGGCATCTAGTGCTAACTATCTCCCTGAGGGGTGACACTGCACATATTTCCCACAGAGGTGCTGCCTCCTTGGAGTGACCCCCAGCTGGCAGGCAGGAGGATGAAGTTGTGGGTCTTGCTTTTCCAGCGGGTGGCACTGGCAGGGCTCCCCAGGGACAGGGCAGCCTGTGGGGAGGGAGCCCAGTGCTCCTCCCAGCAGGCCCTCACCTTTAGCCTGATATTCAAGGGGCTTATATTTAAGGGATCCTCTTGGCTATTCCTAGAGGCGGGAGCTGCAGAGATAAGGCCCTGGAGGTTGCAACAAATGTCCAACGACTGTGATAAGGACAAACCTCCAGTGTTGGCCGCGAGGGGAGCATTCTGGGTTGAGTGCTGCCCAGAGGCTACCCCAGTGACCACTGGTCTGGCCCTCTGGCCTCAGCAGCCCAGCTCTCCTGTGGACAAATGGCCCTTCCCTTAGTAGCCCAGAAGACAGTGTCCAGATCAATAAAGAGGGGTAACAACCATCGGTCCCAGACAGCTAGGACACCATCGTGGGCCTGCTGGGCCTGTTGTCTGGGTCCCGGCCCCCCTTCATGGCCTTCATCATCTTGGGGCTCAACCTCTGGAGGCCCCATCTCTGGGCTTCTGCCTCCCTCAGAGCCTTCCCAACCCTCCCACCCAGGCAGAAACAACCTCCACCTATCTCAGTTCCCAAATGAGGCCCCAAAGGACCCTGAAACCATCCTTCAGGGTGGTGTCTCCCCACACTCCACCTCACCAAGCCCCCCTTTTAGAAAATCCAGCTGCCACAGGCCACAAGAAGAGGACAGAATCCCAAAGCCCCATCGCATCCGTGTCTCAGAGATTCTCCCTGGAGCAAGTCAGTTTGCAGTCACCATCAGAGACCGGGGACACACTGCTGGCCTCCACCCTCCCTGTCCTCCCACCTGGGCCTGCCCAGACTATTTCACTAATAGTACAACGGATGTTCCCTCCCACTTCCCAGAAACCCCCCCCCCCACCACTCGCAAGTTCTCCCAGCAGCCCCCTTATGCTTGGGACCTGAGGGTGAACCCAGATGCCGTGCAGCTACCACGATGAGCCGGGCAGGTGGGGGCACACAGGCCATCCCGAGGAAATGTTCTGCGTCCCCTGAAACCATCGGTGTCTGCCCTTCAGAAACCTTCTCACCTTCTGCAAGCGTCTGCTTCTCTGTGGCCTCTGAGCCACTGCAGGCCCAGAATCAATATCCCTGTAAACAGAGCTGCGCCCTGAGTTGTTAGTTGTCCTGCCTTGTTGGGGGTGTAATCCATAATGTTGGCTCACAGCACGTGGCTCCCCAGGGGGTCGGAGAGCTGGTGCTGCGGAGCGTCTGGTCAGGGTGAAGGCATTGCGCGTCCCAGGGGGCAGTTCTGGGAGAACAATTAGGCCCTCCCCGTGGCCCAGCAAGGAGCTGGGCAGGGATAGGGGGCACACATATCCCTGTCCCCCAGCGCCAGGTGCCTGGACCCTCCCCAGATCTCCTTGTGTGGCTGAGCTTTCCACACCTCCCTCTCTGCCAAGGACAATTTGTTAAGAACCGTCTGCTCAGCCTGTAATGAGGCTTGGCCCTTCTGCTCCGGCTGTGGTTGGGGGTGTTTCAGGGAAGCGGGCCTTCCAGGGATGCTTAGGCATGGCCGTGCTGTATCCTGGCAACCAGAGCCAAGTCCTCCTGGGAGGACAAGGCAGAGTGGGGAAATGTCCACAGCCGGCTCTGTTGTGTTCCCCACCAGACTCTGAGCCATGCAGGAGTCCCCACCCTCCCCGAGTGGCCACACCCCGTCCTGCAGTGGCCTGTAGGGCATCCAGAGGTGCCGTTTTCCACCACTGCCTCTCTGGGCTTCCTCGGCACTCCTCGGCTGTGGCCTCAGTTTTCTCATCTGTAAAATGGGGTGGGGGTGATATGGCACCCCATAGACCCAAGGCTTCCTAGCTGCCCACACATCTCCACCACTTTTCCCTCACTGAACAATTTGTTTAAAAGCAACCGCAGTGAGGGGACTGGGATGGGGCCCCTGGGGTGGGGTAAACCTCCAGACACACACAAACCTCCTGCCTCTAGGTGCCTTCTCTCCAAGCCCAGCCAGGTCCCATCCCTCCGGGGCTCCTCCCTCTGCTCTCCTGACGCAGGAGCTGGAAGGGTACTGGTGGCACTCTCAGCCCAGAGTGGGACAGGTCATCTGCTGAATTCCACCTCATTCAGGCCTGCTGACCTCCATCTATCCACCCTCCCTACCTCCAGCAAAGCTATGGGGAGATAGGCCCCAGGCTGTAGCTCCCCTTCCCTGGGGCCTCACCTTCAGCTTTCATGCTCCCTCATGAAGCTGAGAACCTCTCTGCTATGGTTTGAATGTGTCCCCCAGAAAGCCTTGTGTTGGAAACCCAGTCCCCAGTGCAACAGTGTTGGGGGGGGGCGGTTAAGGAGAGGGGATAAGGCCATGAGGGCAGAGTGAATGGATTAATGGTGTTACTGGGGGAGTGGGTTTGTTTTATAAATGGGAGTTCAGCCCTTCTCCACTCTCTCCCTCCCCATCTCCCTTCCCATCTTTGCCCTTTTGCCCTGTTATGTTTCAGCCCATCCATCTTGAACTTCCCAGCCTCCAGAACTGTGTGCCAATAAATTTCTGTTCATTATAAATTACCCAGTCTGGTATTCTGTTATAGCAACACAAAATAGACCAAGGTAATCTTCTGCAATCTCTCTCCACTGGCAGCTCTGCCAGGGAGCACCAGCCCCCAGAGCCTGGCAGGTGAGGCCCACCCAGCCCAGCACCCCTGGGTTCCAGAGAAGGTGTTCTCCTTAGGGGGTGACCCTCCTGATGGCCTCAGATCCGTGGTCCCTTGGCTTCCCCCTCAGCTCCTCTCCATGGAAAGTCACTGCAGCAGGGCAGCGCCTGTGGCTCAGAGGAGTAGGGCGCCAGCCCTATATGCTGGAGGTGGCAGGTTCAAACCCAGCCCAGACCAAAAACTGCAAAAAAAAAAAATGAATTTGAGTGGCTCGAGC